CTTCTCAAACGAATGTTTTTATAAGTCTTCTTTAGTCGAATGGCTGAAGAAATGGGGGGGGAGGGAGGGTAACTAGCAGCTTTGTACTTCAATGTACGGATTTCTAAGCCAATGAATGACCGCCGCTATAGCTCTCTGGACGTAAGTTATTCTGCCTTTTCACTTTCGCAACAGAAATTCACAGATAATGTGCTGCATGGTTTCATAAAGTCAGAACCATGATGTCAAAATGAATGCATACATAAAAATATTTTGTGAGAAACTAAATTGTGACAGGTCGATAAACATTTAAAGCAAAAGAATATGACTTCGAATCAAATGTGAAAACGATCAAATGTGCTTTGCACGGGAGTTGCTCACAAGTTACAACATCGCACTCAGAATCGAGAGATAATGGGTTTGATTTCCGTTGATAAATGAGTAACATTCAGTATCAGGGAAGGAAACAGGAAGCCATAAAACTGCTGCCGACTCTGCCTTTAAAATAAGGTAGTAATGGTTGATGGCTTTGAAATAAAGATCAGTACTTTTCCATTAACTTAATAAAAAGAGCGTCAAAATATGACCCCATTAAGACAGAGCTAAGAGTTCCAAAGACTTCCAACAGTTACAAACTTTCGTTTCTAGCTTTAATTACGTGTGATATGCAATTAATTTAAGTTTCCGCTTCCGGATAAATGCTGACCGCTGTTTTGTTTTCAAAAAATATTGCTTTACCTTCCAGTGGAGCATCGCTGATGTTCCTTCGACATTTTATAAGGCAAATCTCGATACCCCAAACTCTGTAGCTTTACTATTATAGCGTCGTGTTGCATCAAGTTTACGCAACATCGTTTGATCGTAGAAGCGAGATTATCCTAAGAGAAAGAAAAACAGCTATCAGATAATATTCTTTGCCTCACACTGAAAAATAGAACAAAATAGTAAACTGAGAATCTATACTAAAGGACCATTTTAAATCATTTGCTCCTCTAAGGACGAGAGAAGTCAAACTAAATTTTTAGGGACTTGCTGAAAAATTAGCATAAAATCTATTGAAAATAAAATAACCATAAAAGAAAAGATTATGGTTCTACAAAACGAAAACTGCCCTCAAGATACTGACTGCCCTATATGCCTGATTTTTGAAGGACACGCCAGCATTTAGTCAATCAAACTTTACTACCCCCCTGTCGAAATCTTCGGTAAATATGAAACGTCGCTCACTGACTAATGCTGCAACAGGCAAGTCATCAGTATGTATGATTGATATTAACACTAGTAACATAAGATTTAAGCTTTCCTATTATTAAAATTTCCCTAGCTAATCACAAGGTATAGTCACAAAAGACAATTAAGACAACAAATTACAATTACCTGCAAGAAGGGATCGGTTGATTATTTTGGTCACACTTCCAGCCATTTTCAAATATAAAGAGTAGCACACGGCATGTACTAGCACATATTAGCATATATCAGCGTAGAATATCACAATACTAATATGACAGTATAAAGTGCTGCGGTAGAGTATTATATGATATAGGGTAAGAGCCCAGATAATTACGATTACACATCGTTATATAAAACTACACAATCACAATATAGTACCACAATAGTACAATTATTATTGCTCGAGCATTATTTGAAAAATGGCATCAAAACGGTTCAGTTTATGAGCATCTCAAAAGATGGTAAACCAGGTAATTGATCGACACCGAGGATTTAGTCCATATCTCACGGGAGATAAACGTGGAGCTGTTTATGCGTTCCCTAATCGTTCGGATCGTATGAAGCATATGGTGAGCTTAAAGCCGAAAGCATGATGTAATCTTTGGACTCTCGCTTATAAACGCACTACCTACATCGGAACGACACCAAGTCTTATCAACACTCAACCTTTAAGTATGCCCATGAAACACGGGTAAAAACGCTCGACCACCATTTGCGCTCTGCATGAAACAAAGCAACTTTATGCTATTTTTCAGTATTACTACCAATCCACGAATAAAATTTTCCATCCGCAGTATTACTTGTTATTGTTGTTATCATCGTCATCTGATGTATCAGGGTCAAAGGCCCAGTACCCACGTCAATGATGTCTGAAGTTTTGATTTTTCAGACTGGTTTAGGCAAGGTTCGTTGCGGCGGCAAAGGATACATTCCTGGTCACAAGCGAAATCGCCTAGAGCAGCTACTTTAAGGTGTGATATTGAACTCCGACGCGCCTGCAGCTATTATTTTGCTTCCAAGAGGAGAATGGTTTTGGATAATGTCTCTATTCTCACTCCGGATGGTTATGTCAAACCACGACATACGCCTGTCCCTGATTTCTTCAGACACCATTCTCAGGTCAATCATCTCCAATACCCTTCCATTCTTTATTCGATGGAACAATTGCCGGTTGACAGTGTTCTGCAGGCAACGTTGCTGAAAATATGCAACATTCTGTGGCACTATAAAAGGGTTGATGTTTCAAGATTGTACATCAGAAGTGAGATGACGGCAGCTGCCAGTATGGTAATCTTGCACAGTCAGGATAGTCAGGTCTTGTAACACTTTAAAATGACGCCCGAAATATTACTTACTAATATATGGCAGTATCGCTTTAGCATACGGAAGTATAGAGTACTAATCAATTACTAGTATCAAGTACTGATAAATCAGAAGCTTATAGTAGTAATCAATTACCATGCAACGCATTCAATATACAGTACTGCAGTATTACTTATTTGAATAAGGCAAAATACCGGGTATACATCAGAGAAGTCGCTGACCAAACTGTCCAAACGGAGACCGTTTGTTTACTGTGTATAGCAATATACAACAGAATGTAGTATTGATAGTACCAGCAACAGCAACAATTCTAATATACGCAAAAGCTGAATCTTTAATACGGATATCTAATTCAAAATTGCAAAATTCCTTTACGGGATAGCACCGCATTAAAAGTTCATTATGCACAGAATATTCAACGGTTCATGTCAGACTCGATCCTTCTTCCGGAAATGAAATGAACAAAGCATGATACTGATACAGTCAAATTACACAAACAACTTCTTAACCTCATATCGATAGGGTGACGTGGAAGAACTGAAGCTGGCTCATCCGTCGCTTAGCAGAAGGAAACACTAGAAGAAAATCTGCATTTCACAGTGATCGGAAGTTTTCAGTGAAATGGCAGTGGTGATGATGGAAAGCGTCTCATTACGTACTGTAAAATCATTTTTGCATTTTTGGACTTTATTCCTAGAAGGATCGGATACGAACCGAAACGATGGAAAACCTGCACATCATATGCTCATTATGCGCTACCATAAAAATAAAGCATTCCTGAATACGATGCACTATATGGTACCGTACCTACTACATACTGTTACTACATACGGCTGTACTACAAGAAAGTGAACTATATACAGCAATACATAGTGCTATAATATTGTAATACAACACAGCATAACAGTATGTAGTAGAATGCAACGGTACCCCATATACCAGTACAAAATATAATACAATAGTTATACCCGTTACAAATTTATCATCGTTAGGCCTTTTCGATCCACTGATGGATGAAGGCCTCTTTAGCCTCTGAAATCTTGTTTGGAAGTTCTCTTCTGGTGACATGGAGAGGATCACGATGCCATCCACAAATTGCAGATGGTTTAAGCAGTGCCCATTTATGTTCATCATCTGATTTGCTCTCCTCTTCTGGTAGCTTTCGAAATTGT